GTGCTCTCGGCTTTGGCCCCAGAAGAAAGTTTTTCGCCGTCCGACGCTGCCCCGGGCGGTCTCCCCGCCTCCCCCTCGATCCCTGCGCGCTGGGTTCACACGTCCCGTTACTTGACCGTGCTCGCTTTTGGAGCGCAGCCCTGAACCTAGCACGCAAAGCCCCGGGTGGAAGTTGCACGCCCCTGCCTCAAAGCAAACCCTGGTTCGTTTGGTGTGCCCTGTTGTATGAATGCAACTGGTTGGGGTTTGTGGAGTCCTTGGTGCTCTCTGAGCGTGGTGGTTTTTTGCAGACGTTTCATTCCACGACTAGGTTAACCATGTTCAGAGAGCACCAAGGACTCTACAGTTCAACCCTGAGCTACATATATTCTCTTCTGACTGGGGTTTATTCAGCACACCATGGCTTACTCCGAAGTGTGAACTCAGCCTCTGTGCAGGTGCCAATAATTCTGCTACAGTAGCAACATGGTTCTGTTTATTCAGATATTTCCATGTCTTCACACTGACTACTAGGTAAATATTTATCAGATTGCAAGGTCAGTCTAGTTTTAGGCTGAGTCGCACACTGGGCTTACCTGTGTTTTCTTAAACCAAACTTAGATGGGTTGCATGGAGGCTTCATGTGGTTAATAGTTTTGGCTCAGCAGCCTCTGTGGGCAGAATCACTACAGTTGGTAAATCATGTTTGTGCATTTACAAAAGCAGCCAAATGTGGTTTACTAAATAAACCATGATCTAGTGCAATGTGTGAACCAGGTCAGAATCTCCTCTGGTCTGAACTGGACTGGAGAGGGGAATGCAAAAGGGTTTGCACTCACCTAGACTCATTCTAAACATCCCTTCGAGCAATGAGATCAGTGATAAAAGCTGGGCATTGTAGTTTGGTAATATGAATCTGGACTGGGAATGTTCATCCTGGATTCTTTGCATAGAGCAGATGATTCTCGCTCTGCAAGGGATACCCTGCTTGATAAGCCATGCAGGCTAGTTTTAGCCAGCTTGACTGAGAGTCAAAAAATGAAAAATTTCCCCCCCTCCCCCAATTTGCAGGAAAATGCCCCACAGATCATTTTGTTCCTGCAGAAATTCCTTTCAACAGTTAAGGGAGAAAGGTGAAGGTGTGGTGATTGTAGAACCAGAATGTTGGAAAAAAAATACAAGCTGAGGCTTCTCCAGTGGCGTGCAGGGAAGAGGGAAAATTTTGTTAATGGTAAAACCAGGAAAAATGGGAAGATGGGGAGGGAATGTAGGAGAAGGAACCATATGGTGACATTACTGATGAAAGCAAGGAGAGCGAACTTGCTCCTTGATCAACCACACCGGGCTGCCAGACAGCTTCTCCCCTTGTAAGATTTGTTTTAAACTATCTTTTAAAGACTAAAATCCTTGAGTTGCCTTCAGAATAAAACAGCAGCACTCACATTCCACTGAGATCAGTGGGTACCTTCTTTGCATGCTCCCCCGTCCCCCAAAAAGCTGTTGTAAATTGGATTTGATTTGAAGGGTAATTGAATGCAACTTGGGCTGAATCCAGTCCCTTGACTCTTGTCTGACTTTATCTTCTCAGCTTCTAAGCTTTCTGCAAACTTGGCTTGAATGGCCCAGGGGAATGCAAAGCTCATCTCTCACCCTGTCAAACTGGTAAGAGGATTGGAAGGGAAATGTGGAGAACGTCATGACGGACACGGACTGAGTTCATGTAATAGAACATTGTGGCTTATTCAGGATGAAGTATGAGCCCAGACAATGGTTGATTTTGTGCATAACACTAAGCCAAGATTTTTAATCAGTGATTCATGGAACAAGTCATAGTTGTTTGCTGTGCATATAGCAAACATTAATGCAGGATGAAATGTTCTGTTTGGCTTGGAAGAGAAACCATTGTTTAACATTTTGCCTTGCCTGGAAGAGATGTGAGAATGAATGTGGCTGATTATACCTACTGAATTAACGCTTACCTATACAACTAAATGCAGATAAGACTCAACCAATGGTGTATTTGTACAACAGGCCAAACTTGAGTAATTTTAACTTTGTTTTGTTTCATTGTGGTTCTTCTTGTGCAAATCCAGGTAATGAGGTCACTTGGATGCATTGTGGAAATGCAATAACATTTGGGTTATTTTGGTAAACAAAGCTTATCATAAATAAAGGAAAACTTGGGGGTGAAAAATTGGATGGAAAGGGAAAATGAAGGATTTCAGAAAACAGGAATGTGGAATACAGCAGGATGTTTAAAAACATGCAAGTTTCTAGATATTAAATAGAAAATCAAGACAATACATGTGCCATAAAGAATTCTCAGTGTACCCAAGTTCTTCACTTATTCCTCCTCAGATAAAACATAATAAAAACAAATATAGAGCAAATAACTTTTCTTCCCCTGTGTTCCCCCATCCTGCTGTTTTCCTTACACGAAAAAATGATAATAAAAATATGAGGGCTTTTTTTGCACACAGAAATGCTGAATGGCCCACAGATTTTCAGAAAGGTCCCAATCTGATTGTAGCTATTTTGGAAGGACTTTCATCTTCTCCTTAGATGAAGGTGAAACTCACAAGATCTCGGTGAAACTGACCAACTTCCCATGGAATTTGGTTAAAACTGATGAAATCCTCTAATGCTCCCTAAAAATCTCTCTCTTTCCCCCAAATCTTATTTATTTATTTATTTAATTAATTTGTCCCCGCCCATCTCCCCACAATGGGGGACTCTGG